CTGCCTTAACCTAGAGACAGGAGAGAAGGCCTAGTCCCTACTTGAAGTGACTTATCAGATTTACATGACCCCACCTGTATGGCATTGCCCTACATGTGAAATTTGGGTGGGGTGATGTGAGGGGAGGGTGGTCAGAGTGCATGTGAGGGGGCAGAGATTGTAAGAGGGAGAGAGGAAGGGAGGGAGAGGGAACTGGGATCGACATGTAAAATAATAAATAAATAATTAAAAGAAAAAAAAAAAAAGAAAAAATTCACAGCAAGTGGATGGAACTTGAAGAAACCATCCTGAGTAAGGTAACCCAATCAGAAAAAGAGCAACAATGTATTTACTCGCTCATATATGGATTTTATACTAGAGCAAAGGATCACCAGCATGTAATTCATGCCACTAGAGAAATTAGGATACAAAGAGGATTCTAAGAGATTCATATAAGGTCCTTCACAGAAGGGGAAAGGGTCAAGATCTCCTGAGCATATGGTGAGGGGGGGGGGCAGTTAGTGGAGAGAGAACTTGGAGAAAGAGAAGGGGAGGAGAGGAAACCAAGTGGGATTAGGAAGATTGAGTCAGGGGAGGAATTGATGAGAAGAGAGAGAGAGATCATAAAAGAGGGAGCCATTATAGGTATAATGAGAAAACTGAACCTAGAGAAATATCCAGACCTACAAAACTGACCACAACTAACAATTTCCACAATAGTGGAAATGCTACCCTAAATACCCTTCCCTGAAAATGAGATCGATGACTAACTTATCCGCCATCATAGAGCCCTCATCTTACAGCTGATGGAAACAGAAGCAAACACCCACAACTAAACTCTGAGCAGAAATGTAATCCAGATACAAAGAGGGAGGACAAGACCAGGCTACAGAAACACATAGAGACAGCTGACCTGAATAAGGAGGAGCTAATGGACTCCAGACTGACTGCTGAGAATCCAGCATGGGACTGACTCAGACCCCCTGAACATGGGTCTCAGCTAGAAGGCCTGGGCAGTCTAAGGGACCTCTGACAGTGGAACCAGGATGTATCCCTGGTGCACAAATGGACTTTGGGGGCACATTCCCCATGAAGGGATACTCCCTTATCCTTGTGACAGGAGAGAAAGCCTAGTCCCTACTCCAAATGACTTGACAAATTTAAATGCCCCCTCCTGGAGGGCATCACCCTACATGTGGAGTGTGTGTTGGGGAGAGGATGGGATCATGAGATCCAGGGGTATGAGAGGGGTATGAGAGGGTGGAAGAGAAAGAAACAGGGAGGGAGGGAGGCAGAGGGACCTGGGATCAATATGTAAAATAAAAACAAATTTAAAAAAATGAAGTAGAGGTGAGATGACAGATAATTGAGATTTTAATCTACTGTAATAGATAATAACAGGGTTTGTAAATACATTTAAATCGTGACCTCTGAAGCAGCAGTGTTAGAGTGACCTGAAAACTTGTCTGAAATGCTGATCCTGATATCTCCTCATAGCTAAGAAAATACCTGAGGGTGGAGAGGAGAGTTCATGTTGGCTGTTACATGAAAAGATTGAGATATTCCTACAGTATAATAAAATATATCCTGAGTGTGTTTATGAAGAGCCTTCCAGAGGTGATCAACATGTGTGCCAGTGAACAGAATGGAAAACAGCCACCTTGAATATTGGTGCATTTTTTTCCACTAGGGTGGGACAAAAGGAAAGAGGGAGGCTGGGATACTTTTAAATGTTCAACTCTTCTTAAGCAGATGAGCATTTGCTGTTGTCATTGCCTAAGGACATTAGACATCAAATTAATCAGCATTTTAATTATTTTACATCCCAACCTCAGTTTGTCCTCCTTCTTCTCCTCCCACTCCTTCCCCCTACCTCTCCACAGCTTAATCTACTCCTCCTTTGTTTCTATTCAGAAAGGGGTAGGATTCCTATGGCTATCAAATCATGGCATAGCAAGTTGCAGTAGGGTTAAACTAAGTTTGGGCTGGGCAATCAGTGTGAGCTAGCCAAAGCTTAGGGATAGCCCCTGCTCCCATTTGTAGGCATCTCACAGATTTATCAGGTCTTAAACTCAAACTTACAATATAGAGTGTCCAAGAAGTCTTCCAGCCCTCTAGCATCACACTGAAGTGTGTGTGTGTGTGTGTGTGTGTGTGTGTGTGTGTGTGTACCTACAAGATAATTCTAATCAGACTAATATTTAAGAACCACTGGCTTCAAGTCATTTTTGAAATCATTTTACAATGATAAAAACTCAGGGGTAGGAGATATTGAATGGAAGCCAGAAAACCAGAGCCAAATCTCTCAACAAGAAATGATGATGATAGTAGAGAAGAAGAGATTTATCACATACCATGAATAAATTATTTTACTATTAATTTATCCCAACATAAATCATATCTATGAACAAATACATGAACAAGGGAATGTATAAATTAAAGCATAGAATTAATTTTTAAAGATGAAATGCCTGTAGCAGAGAGGTTATTTTACTGCATAATAAGAGGTTCTATCTTCTCAGTGATCTTTGGAACAGATCCTCCTTGAGTCCAATGCTAGAATTTGGGAGAAAGAAAAAGGTATCCAGAAAGTTTCTATGGGCAAAAGATACAAGAATTCAAGGAATGGTTTATACCACCCCAAATATTGATATGTAAACAAATCAAAGGCACAGTTTTAAGGAAAAAAGAGGGGAAATAAAAAGGCCAGTTATTGAGTCCATATCGACAAATTTAAAAGAGCCTATATATTACACTCCCTTATCTCTTTTGCTACAGCATTTCTATATGTGGTATTTAAAAGCTAAATTACTTTAAGACAAGGCTATGGAAAGCATAATTTTCTGAAAGTAAGAAAATAATTTTCTTCTTAGCCATAAATCCCTATAATGTAGAAAATAATGCTTGTTAACACTTATTCTTCATTGCCTGAAATCCTCTGACTGAAACACACACACACACACACACACACATACATACATACAAACACACACAAACACACACATACACACACACTGTTTCACAGTTAAAGATAAAAGCCCCTATACTGTGTTTGAAACAACACACAGAGGAACAACACATAGGTGTGAACACATTAGTTCCAGTGTTAATGACATTAGCTTTCTCCTTTTTCAGTTTTGTAAAGAGAAATGACTCCTTAAGTCAAAAAAGATATTTAGAAAAGGAAGCTGTTGAAACAAGTACAAAGAAGGGAAGATGGAATGCAGAAAGGGAAGAGCAATGACACTATAGCCAACTAGCTCCTTAGTTTCCATAGGTATAAAGGCAAATAAAGGGATTAGTGGTCCATGCCCTAGGAGCCAGGCTAGCAAACAGTTCGATAATTCTATTTTAATCAGGTTTGACATCAAGACACCTTATTACAGTCAAATTATCCATAGGACTTATATTTTGTTCTGAAGAATAAATAGAACTAAGAAAAGATCACTTAACAAACTGTAATCACCACCCTAGGCCATGTCAATATAAAAGATAGTTAAGGTAGGTAGATAAAATGGAACTCCATTCCATCAATGGCCAAAGGCTGCTCTGTTAATTATCCCAATAAGGGTAATTATCTTTTTCAATGATAGTCCAACTCCCAGTTTGTCCCTGGGGTGGATCAGTTCACAAATGAGAGAATTTCAACACTTACTTGATCCCAAAACAAAAACAGCATTCATAATTTCAAAAATGATTCTTTAACTTTATGACTATTATCATCATAAAAATATATAATAGTAATAATAGATATGCAACACTTACCACAGTTAACAAATTGTTTTAAGTATAAGAACTAAGTTAATCCATAAAGCATATTTCAAATGCAGCAAACTCAATGACAGCTATTATGTTTTATTTTAGAATGTATAAGGAAATGTTAACTTGACATTCTTTAGCTCCATTAAGATAAATTATTTTAAATCACTAATGGCATCAAATTAAAAGCCATCTCATAAATTTAAGTGTTTTCCCTAGCACTGCACATCTGAGATTTAATGTCAAATTTCAAATTCAAAGCAATTCTCACTAAAAAGAGAATCAACATGAGCATCAAGTGATTAAAGCTCATGGTATTATGCTAAGAATTGTATTCACTTTCTACTCTTCTACCCTTCTGTTATATTTTTAATCACAATATATCCTAATAGCCCAAAATTATTCCTGATGATCCCCACCATATAAAAGGATACTATTTCAAGAATTATCAGAGTTTGACTCTTCACAAAGACAATCCCTTACATCATATAGAGAATACAAGAAAAGTATAGTGACAATACCCATTGCTTCTAATGTTAACTGATTTAACATGAAAAGCTAGAATACTCAAAAAAATAAATTTTTTTGGTGTTTACCAAACTGCTATCTGCTATGGCTAATCAAAAATGTACTTTGGGCTTAATTGGAGTTTCCTGTCTCCAAAATACTTTCACTGAAACAATATCACTTAATCATGACATCTATCTTTGACTTTGTTATTAATATAGCCATTAAGTTTTATTGAAATTTCTTTGTACTATTGAGGTCTTGATTTCTTACTTTTTGGTATAAAGCATTGTTAACACTTGCAATTATGAAAACCATTTGAAAAAATAGGGAGTACTAAAGAAAAATATGCAGCATGTGACCTGACCCAACCAAGACCTATCATGCATAAAGTGTGATTTCAGCCAAACCCTATCTAAGGATTCAAACAACCATTCAAAGCCTCCCATTCGGTATCAGCAATTGTTCTTTTATAATTCTTTAATTTAGTCTTGCAATTGGAAGATAAGAACATTAAAAAGGGGGTAGGGGAGCCAAAAGAGAATTTCATTTTTTCATTTAAATGAATTAAACACAAATAAACCAAAGGAAATCATTATGAGTTACTCTTGTTACATGTTAAGCCTAAACAGCCTACATTTTAAGAAACAGACACATAAAGTTAACTTCAAGAGTACACTAACTTTCAAGCTAAGCATCTGCACTTGAGAAATCATTTTGAATCTGTTCCACAGTCAAAATGCATGTTTACTCACCTGATAACTTGATGTTCATAATACTGCAATGTCCTCTTGAGAGTCAGTTGTATAGTCTGAGGCTGCAGTATGGTAACAAGAATGAAAACACATCATCAGCTCATCAATGTGCTTCCCAATCAAGGAGAATAGGCACAAATTTCTCATAAAAGTTGCTATTGTACAGTGGTAAGGCATTTTGCATGTAGCCATGTGTTTTCACAGAGGAACTAAATGAGACAGTCAGCAATTGCCCAGTTTCCCAATGTTGCATACTATGTTTTTTATTCAGCACCCCCATTCTTTTGATGAGCTATTAATAAGTATTCAATAAAGAACTCATTGGCCACAATGGAGGAATTGGGAGAAAATGGGAAAAAGGCACTGCAGGAATGAACATGGCTTGCAGCACTTCCTAGGTACTGTATACAATCCCTGTGAGATAATAACTATCTGGAAATGCACACCTTTATTTGTTCTGTCACGCTCTAACACAACTTGCAATGGTAGTCTGCAACTAACAACAAGTTGAGTTAAAATTGTCAACTCTATAATTATATACATTAAGCTTAATAAGCTTTTTTTCCATTAGTTTTTCGTCTAAAGGCACTCATAGGATGGCCAGGATGAGACACGAAACTGGAAAATGTGGCCCAGTCCCCATCTGCAATATTTCAATATTTCAAATTAGCCTAATTTCCTGTGTATCCCAAGAAATATCAAGCAGAGGTTTGTTATTGTGTCTCATGGAGAGGAGATGAGTGCTTTGGATTGCCTCCTCATGTCTTCAAATGAGAAGTCTATAGTTCATGAATGAACTATATAAGCACTCCCAATGGTAGGTCAAGACATTATTCTCAGATCTATCTAAAGAGTGGGCCAAATTTGGAAAAATCCATACATACAAGGGAGTTGGATACAAACATCTCAGAACATTGATTTCAATAGGATGTCATAATATGAACTAAACTCTCAATGGTAACAGAGTGAATTTGTAAAATGAAGGATAACTATGCTACAATCCACAGACCCAAAGAGACTCAGTAACAAGGAGAGTTCATAGGAGGGTGTCTGCATCTCCCTGGGAAGGGAAAATAGAGACTTTGAGAGTGATGTGCAGTGAGTGGGGATGGAAACATGAGCAATCAGGTTGGGGTAAGGCAGAGCGGGAGAGTATAGAAACTGACTGTTGGAAAGGCAGGTGGCATTTCTGCATCAGGCAAAAATATTGGTGCAAGGGAATGTACAAGGATAATCCCAGCTATGACTCCTAGCAATAGCAAATAAGTAGCCTGGACTGGCCATCTGCTCTAACCAGATTGGTGCCTAACCCAATTGTCATCAGAGAGATTTCGCCTAGCAACTGACAGAAACAGACACAGACCCACAACCACCCATTAGGCATAGCACAGAGAATCTTGCAGAAGAGGGTGAGAAAAAAAATTCGGAGCCAGAATGTAACTCAAGAAAACACACAGAATAGGGACCCAGAGAGATTAAACCATGGAGCCTGCATGGGACTGGCCTAAATGTTCTGCATATATGTTACAGTTGTGTAGCCTTGTCCTCCTTGTGGGACTCCTAACAGTGGGAACAAGGGATTTCTTTGATTTATTTACTGGCTTTTGGGATCTCTCTCCTTACTCTAGGTCACCTAGTCCAGCTTTAAAATATGGGGAGGTGCTTAGTCTTACTATAACTTTATATGCCATGTTTTGTTGATACGCATGGGATACATATATCCTTTCCGAAACAGAAATGGAGGAGGAGTGTATTGTGGAGCTATGTGGGAACAGAGCGAGTAGGGTGGGAGGAAAGGGGGTAAACAGCAGCCAGAATGTTAAATAAATTAATATGTATATTTATATTGAAAATATGTCCCCTTAATTATTACATGTATATTCATAATTAAGCATCTCTCAACCTTCATCAAAAAAGCTTTTATTAAAAAACATAGATCTTTAATACAGAAACCAACATGAAATAAGTGACTATAGGGTGTTCAACTTTAAATGGAACATGTGTATCATAGGCATATCCCAAAGGCTCAAAGATCATTATGGAAGAGGGAACAGAAAGATTGTAAGAGCAAAAGGTAGTGAAATTATCTGCCAGACATGACAGTGATGTTGTACACATCAACACAAAGCACATTTGATTGCCTGTACAAAGTCTACAGAAAATGAAGCCAGCCAATTTCTTATAATGCAAAGGTGTTCATAAAGTTCCACTCCTAGCTGAGGAGCTATTGGCACATGATGGCTGCTAAAGGAAAGACAGTTTTCAGGGATGTGGCTCCTGAGAGGATACCCATGATCCAGTAGATAATCCCATACCCATAAACTTACAGAAGGCTCTAAGTTTTTTTAAGTACATAAAGTTGGGAGGGAAAGTAAGGAGGGATAGGAAAAGGGATTACATGGAAGGCAGATTTGATCAAAATATATACATTTGTAAGATTATCAAACAATAAAAACATATAGTCAAAAAGAAATAAAACCATTCAATGGTTGGTCGAATGTTGATCCACTATACCAAGGATAAATTTTAGGAAATATACCTATAACACACATTCTTCAATACCCAAGAACAACTATAGTTTGGTAATCTTAGGGACTACTAATTAATATCTAATTAATTAATATCTAACTAATATCACTAAAAAGATCATCCTCAGAAAAATCCAGTCCAATGCTGGTCGCCTAAGGAAGTGCTAAGAAATATTAATTTTTAGTTTCTAATCCTTCCATTTAAATCTTAAAAGTGTATAATATAATAGAGATACAAAAGGTCTATGTTAATTTTCACTTGGACTACATCCATATTCATCTCTGTATAAAATATCTGGGATAAATTTAGTGATCTTCTACCTTGAGTTCTGTAATACACTCTTGTTGTGGGAAATGGTTGTTTTAAAGTCAAAAGCTGAGCTTAAAATAAAATAATAATAATAATCAGGAGTATCTAGCACCAAGACTTAGAAATCTATGTTTGTATCATTTCACTGTATGAATCTGGGGCCTTAGACATAGTCTTGGCCTAGACAAAGCCAAGCCACTAATTTTTTTAGGAGGAATCAGCCTCTAACAATTCAGAGTGAGACACTGTGCATACTTCCCCTCCTGTGTTTGTACTTTTTTCTGTCTTAAACATGTGCAGGCCCTGGACATGATGCTACAGTCTCTGTAAGTTCATTTTACATCAACCCTGTCATGTCTGGAAGTCACTGTTTCCTTGGAGTCATCTCTGTCACCTCTGGCTCCTACAAGCTTTCTGCCTCCTTTTGTGCTTAGATTCTTTCATTTATACCAGATGGAAAAGGCTAAGGAGATAGCAAACTGGTACTGAGATTTCTACTAATTAGGGGGATAATCAAAGTATAATATAATGAACAAAAAAAGTAAATAGAATGAGGGATACTTCATTAACTAGAGCCAGGGGGGTGGGGAGGACCTAGAACCTACTTCAAATGACTTGACAGATTTTGTTGATCCCTTCTGGAAGGCATCACCCTCCCTGTGCAGAGGGTGGGGGGGATAAGATGGGAGGAGGGGTTGGGGACATGGGATTCAATATGTAAAATAAGAGAAAATAATACTTTTTTAAAAAAGTTTAAAAAAAGAAAGTGTAGTGTTGAATATGATATGTTTAATACTTTTACCCAACCATTCTGCTGATATTCTATTACTGTATCCATAATCTCTCGTCAATTATTTTGAAATTCTTAATACATTTTAGTAACCACTATAATTTATCATAAATATAACAGGATCAATTATATAGAAAAAAAGAAAAAGAAAGAAAAAAATCACTCTTGAACAAGAAATCATGAAGCATTTGATTAATTTAAAATGAAAGGAGTATACATCACTGCTTCAGTGCACATAAAAATAATGTTTTCACAACCCAGCCACTGCCAGCATGAACCAAACCATTAAAGGCCCCTGGGATCTAGGCCTCTATTGCTAGATTGACAGTTTCTGAGTTAAAATAGCTTTCCCTTTGACAGTGAATATCACAGAGAATTCTCCTTCCAATATCCAAAGCATGACATGGAAACCAAGGACTAGAATGCACAGGGCCAGTTATGACCAGAAAGATCACATTTGTCTAACAGACATTTTTTTTTTCCTACACGCAGTTTCTAAGTCATTAAAGAGCATGTTTGTGAAAGGAGTCTGGCTGGATAAGGAAGTGGCTTTTGTTCTTGTGTGAAGCAATTACCTCCACAGTTGGTAGAAGTCAGGCTTACATTTTACAAACCTACTGAATAGAATGATTCTTGGGAAACAGCCAAAAACCCTTCTTCGGGTTTGTAAACAGTTATTCACTTGCTCATTCTTGCCAGAAGTTAGTGGGCACATTCTAATGGCTTGAAGCAAGAATGGGGTGGCTGCAATCATCTCCCTTGAGGCAAGGACAACTTCTACACCTTTCTGACCCCACAGAAATGTCTTAGAACAATGGATTCACTTCTGTTTTCAGACTTCGCTTTATGGTCTCAACCCAAGATGTTATCAGAGAGACAACTTCATATAGTCTCATGTTGTCTCTGTCCTAAATAAACAGCATAAAGTGATACTCTATACACAGGTTCCTTCTAAGGATGGTTTTGGAATGAGAGGAGTGACTATTTCATCAAGACTTTTCTGTAGAGGGACTGAGGAGACAGCGCAGTGGGTATACTGCTGACTGAGCAAGGCAAGGTGGCCCACCCCAGTTACTGAGGAGGCATGGGCACGGGAAGATTGTGGGAACTCAGTGGCCAGCTGTTTTAAGAAGTAATAGATACAATATCTCAAATAAATAAAGTAATATTTGTTTGGAGTTTTTAATTAAAATTAATATTTAAATACAGTGGTTAAGACAAGTGACTCTTTCCCATTGTTCTCCTGTCTCTCTCTTCTCTTTTGCCCTCTCTCTGTCTCTGTGTCTCTTCACCTCTTTTCTGCCCTCCCCCTACTTTCTAATAAAACTTATCAATTAAAAAAAAGAAAACAAAGACTCTGACCTACACACACACACACACACACACACACACACACACCCCTATAACATGTACCACATATCACATGCATACACA